GTAGACATTTATCTATATCGTTCATCTCTTATGGTTGGCTTGGCATATGTAACACTTAGCAGATGATGTTTGACTTAGTGCATTGCATACTTTTCCATCAACCATAGTCAGTTGCAATTTCTGTTCGACGTTTATTTTCTGTCCAGATCTTAAATATTCTGTGCACTTTAACATATCAATTTTCTTCGTGAAATAATTCCTCTCTTCAATGCAAACTTCTGTTGTCTCTTTTTTGAAACTAAATAGTATTGGTCTGCAGTATCGAGTGGACGACGGTCGAGGATTTTTCCATATAACTTTATCTTGTAGTGTCGAATATTTAGTAACTAATTTAAGGGGCACATAGGATGTTACAAATACACTATTGTCTTGTAAAGTATTGTTACTAACACGTTGTTTATATTCACTGTATCCGGAGCTACCATCGAATCCTCACTTGCCTATCAAAACAAGATTGCTTATATTCACATCGGGTATGACGTTCAACACTTCAGTTTGGAGATCTAATATACGTGAAGCTGTATGATCAAGTAAACTTTGTAGCTCCACTTCAGCCTGTGATTCACTCACGCTAACCGATTCTGCATCTGGATAACTTTTTTTCTTTTCACTTAAAACCTTTTTATAGCTGGGCAAAACTTTGTACGAAGTTTAAAGTTTATAAAATCACTGATTTTTAAGTACTGATGTTGTGCTAAGTTTGTATCAATTATTAGTGAAAGAACTTCGGTGACATTTACATCCTGAAAAAGTGGATTTGATTCCAAATGTACTTCACGTAATTTATCCGCTGCGGACTTATCAATTTCTGCCAATTTTGCTATTCTACGTTGCTTAGTCCGTTTTGAGCATGTGGAGAAATCAGCAGTTGGGCGACCATGTTGACTCGTTTTGCTTCTTCTTTTTCAGATGGCAAAGATAGAGTTTCGAGACTTAAGGTAACAACCTCTTTATAAGAGAGCCAATCCGAGTAGTTTCTTAACACGTCTGACTTTACGCGATGGTTTTGTTTCCACATCACCCCAATGCGTCTGCATAAATATTTTACACACTTCAGTATATCATCAAACGGGGGTTCGTCACCTTCAAAACCTGTTTTTCTGACTATATCTTCAAAAACTTCCTGACCTTTCGTCATATTTGATCCATTTTTGGAGCATTAAATTTCAAAAATATAAGACCGAGAAAATATGCATTGATGAGACGTTCCTACGATAAGAAATTTAAAAAATAAAAATCTCAGAGAGAGAGAGTGAGACAACAACAACTAATTCTACATTTGTTTATTGACATTACTTGCAAAAACCAATGCCATAACACGCACATTTGATGTACAAAATACACTTTGAAACTAAAAAGTTAGGTTAGTTTAATGAACTTTATTTAGAAACTTGCAAATCCCTGCATATGAACTTAATATTATTTTAAACTATATACTTGTATCAACATTTACACACTAATCCGTTCACTGCATTCGGTTGACAAAGTTACTAAATTTCCAAATCATTTAACAAAGAGCAACAAAACTGAATCTAAAAGACACTTCATTAAAATTTGTTATTACTGAAAAATAATACTATTACCATCTACTTTAATTTCCATTTTCAGTATTTTTATTTAGTCACTTTTTTAAATTAAACTTTTGCAGTTGGATGTACACGTTGCCTTCGCTTTTATTTTTGTCAACTATTTACTTCTGTGCAAGGCCGTACATATGTTGCTTCCACTCAAGAAGTTTGAAATAATCAAAACAAACTCAAAATACATACATTTGATGGCATATGCAACTATTTATTTAGCTACAAGCCCAATATATAAACATAGACTTTTTTATTTTTGTCATATGGGAGGAACCACCGTTAGCTATGCCTTTAAAAATGTATAAAATTGTTCAAAAAAGTATATATTTATTTAACATTGCTAAACTTGATATTTCCACATAAAATTTTGTTTCTGAGAGAGAATCCTCGCAAGTGGCTATTGAATATTTCCAGAATAAAATGGACTAAAAATGAACTTGTTGTCGCGGCACAACGACTTGAGACAACTCTTGTTAATTTGTATGTATGAAATGTTTTTTGAAGAAACTTTCTGATATAAAATCGATCAGTCAAATGAAACAAACAAATTTTCAATTTTTATTATTTGATTGTTAAGTGTAACAGCAGATGTCAATACTTAAGACTTTTCACACCAAACTATACAAATTCCTCTTGGCAAAACTTAGACTATCTCAAGAGGCACTCTGAAAGCTACTGATCATCAATCTATATGAGTACGTATTTGAGAGTTGTTTAAGTTATGCCTATAAAATCTCTTAAATTTAATGTCGAGATGGTCAGAAATTATAACTTCCTAGAATTTGATATTCTGTATAAATATAATAGCTAGAATGTGCCAATTTTTACTAACCGCAAATCGATTTGTTGATGAATATGAGTGAAATTAATTAATTTATCTGAGGCGATTCTTTATATTTCAATCTGTTATATGGTATTACACGTGACTGCAAATATTTTAATATAAGTTTATGACTATATTTAGCTATAATGGATACTTTTTGTTTTTCTTTTGACCAAATTTTCTTAAGTTCTTATTAAAGTAAGACAGGAGGTTGTGATTCACAATTGAACTAGTATATTTCTTATCGAAATCAGTTAATTGAAAACTCTTTGAATACAGCTCTATAAAAATGCAAATTCTGGTCCAGCTAGTCCAATTCAAGACACTAAAAGCTAATAATGCTTACTGGAACTTAGTTATATTGAATTAATGTCTTTGGAAACATTAAGCTAATTCTTATAAAAAGTAATAAGATATTATATGAATATTAGAGTAAAAATAATAAGGTAAAGAAAATATATAAGTTCACAGTCAATGCAGGCAACCAAAAAAGTTCTCCGCGAAAGTTTTGTTTTTTAATAGTTTCCTTACTAAATATATTCTATCAAAATAGTTTATTATATTGACGGATAAAAAATTACAGAAATTAGTGCTGATTTTAAGGTGAACTACAATTATTATGATATTTTTTTTTTCAAATTAATGGGGAACACCTCCTAGTATAAAATAAAAAAAAAAGTTTATTTTTCAAGTTTCTATAGTTATATGGTATAACGTGCTCAAATTATAAACCGATATTTCAAATAGTGTTTGAGTTACATCCTTCTAAAATGTGGCTGCTTCGTTACACCCGTTGAATCAGCTCCATCCGGAGATCTTTGAAGGGTTACATGAGTTTACAGGTTTCAAAAATCGATTTTTTGTTGCATTATTAAATTCTATAACACTTCCCTAATATTGTTCTTTCAAGTTAATCCGAGTAATAGTTTCGGAGATACAGCATTCAGAACTTCTTCGCTGTAGGCTAGCTAGGCTAATTGCATCGTCTTTAAACCCGTTTTTCTTAAAACTGTGTTTTTGAAGTTAGCCAGCACGAATTCTCAAGAAATACTCAACCCATCTTCTTGTAATTTTACACATGTCTTTGAGATACAACTCTTAAAGTTTTTTAAAGGATTTATCCTGCCAATGCGGGCGAATCTTTTGTATGAGGTGCACCGGAAATGGCGTCGCAATGGCCAAGTTTAAAATATTTTTTTTTGTCGAAATTTCAGAATTAGTTTGTAACAATAAAAAATACTAATAAAATATTTAATTATATATATGAGAAAAAAATTGTTGAAAACGGTTATTTTTTACCCTAAAAAACCCAAGTAACCCCCTAAACGCATTTGTCATGAACGGTATTTTTAGAATAGGCAACAGTGTATACTTAAAGAGAATTTTCAGTATATGTATAGTTCGTCATACCTCCTTTTTTCGAATTGGACTAACAATAAAAAGTTGGGAAAATTCAAATTACACATTTGGTAAATTTTTGATCTTTTTATCGACCGTGGGTCATTGTACGGATAATATCTTCTAGTGATAATGTTTTAGTTTTACGGAGAGGACCGGAGTTATTCGAGCAGTAAAAAGCTTTTTAACGCCACCAAAAATTGCGTGCAACTCGAAAAATATTTTATTTTTCTTCAAAAACCTTACTGTGTGTCCAAAAATTTGTTTAAATTTACATTTAGCTTAGAACAAATGTAATTTTGAAATTTTAAAACTCCCCAAGTCATTGAAAATACATTTGTAAATTATTAGCAATACATTTTTTAGGCACTTTAATTTTTAAAAATATTTTTTAGCTTAACCAGCATCATTTAAGTAGCCTGATCACGAGTCACGTAAGAAATATTGAAGTCACAGTAGAAATATTAAAACGATTTCTATTAATCATTTATGACAATACATTTTGTGCCTCAAATATTAACAATAAATTAGTAAACTTTTGCAAAACAATTGCTTTTGCGGAAACCGTTCTCATCAAAAAGCGCAGTAGGAAGCGCCCACTAAAATAATACTTTTGCAATATATAACATCACTTTTATTACGAGTATATTGCTAGATATTAAAGCATTTCAAAAGACAGACAAATGACTTGCTTCTTCTAATAATTGCCGACAATACAAAAATCACAGTAATAAAAACTAAAGAAGGAACGATCATTTATAACAAGTGGCTCACGTGGCGCGACACGTAAATGCTTAGAACATTGCGAGGAATTCCAAATAGTTTTTTTTTCACAAGCGCGAACATGTGCCGCTTTGACAGCTGCCGGCAGTTTGGCTTATGCAAGCGCGTACTCAAAATCAAAGTGTCTTACAAATAAGCAAATTTATGTGCAAATACATGCTTTATACATCTGTAAGTCAGTATATTATCGCTTGAATGATTTTCAAATATCATAAGATAAATTAATAAGTAAATTAACGCAGCCCATGTGTATATATAATATGTATGTAAATACCAGCTTCTGTGTGTCGCTTAAGTGCCACTTAATTACTCAAACTGGGCTTTTGTTCTATTTGCCTTCACTATACTTAATGACTTCATATTTTTTATTGCTAGTTTGGAATTCTTTGCGTGTAAAGCGTTTGATTTCAACTTACCTGTAACATCTGCTCGCTGCGAAAGCTGCAAATCTCTGTAAGGTTGAGAAGGGAGTGAGGGAATTAGTTTATATTGAACGTTTAATAATTGCCAATAATTAATATTATTTGCATAAACATAAAAATAGTTTAATGGGTTTAGATTGTTAAATGAATAAATGCATTCGAATGACAATTAACCTTTTTATTATCTGGGCGTGCCAATGATCCCAAATGTAGTTCACGTGTCGCAAAAGATAAAAGGTAGTACATACAATGAAATTATCATATTCGAGCAATTTATAAGTTCAGTTACATGAGGAGTGGTAATTTTTTATGCTGCCTAAGAACTTTAAAAGGCCCTGAAATACTCCATTGTTTCCTTGGTGCCCTGCTTTAGGCGAAGGAGTCTCTCAGTTTAAGGGATATTGGTATGGAACTTTACAAACGTCCATTCTCACCAAGAAGCTTATCACTTGTCGGAACCGCTTATATTGGACGACTATAGCATCTAGCTGTCATACAAACTGAACGATCGGTGTGAAACAGTTGCATGAAAAACATTTTCATTTGACGAGGCCGTTTCAAGAATTTCGCAGAGATTATAAGCCAAGTGTTATTATTACGAAAAATGTGCTTGTGGAGGTAATTATAGCTTTAGTGCAGCCGAGGTTGTCTTGTTTTTAAATACTTTTCAAATAACTTGATACCAATTCATTAAAAGTATCTATTGAAAACCGAACGTATCGTGAAAAAATAAATATCATAAGTTCAAAAACTGCATTGAATTGAGAGTTTGGTTACAATAATTCTATATTTTTTGGGTATCTTGTCCAACAAAATTACTTATGAAAGTTTCACAATATTTCCTTCTTATTTTGAATCTCAGCTCAAAGTCTTCTTATTTTATCTAAGCTTTTAGAAAGGCTGAGTTTTGGGTATAATCTGGGTATAAACTAGGTATAATTTACGTATTATCTAGGTATAATCTGGGTATAAACTAGGTATAAATTAGGTATAATATAATCATTTATAATCATTGTATTTCCTCTCATATTCAAATAAATTCAATGCGTTCTTGTTTTCAAATCTTTTTGAGCATCACTCAAGTTTTGCATTCGAACACTTGCATGCCTTACTTTATTAACAAAAAAAAAAAAAAAAAAAAAAAAAAAAAAAAAAAAAAAAAAAAAAAAAAAAAAAAAAAAAAAAAAAAAAAAAAAAAAAAAAAAAAAACCAACTAGTTTTGAATATAACAATTTTCAAACCTCGTTTGATTTTGTATGTCAGTAGGAATTTTGTTGAAAATTATGTATTAAAATGATTGATAACCCAAGTGTATGCATTCTATAATTAAATTTAAAACAGCTGACTTAACGCCAGCACCAGTTATTACGGTCTAACCGGCAGTTTCAACAGCATAATGAATAGCACGTTTAAATACTAGTTTGCATTTTTAATTTTGAAAGCAACACAAAGCAAAATTATGGAAAAACGAACGAGTAATCAACGGTAGTTGTTAGAAGAATTGTAGAATTGAGAATATCATACATAGTTATATGCATACATATAGACATTTTGCTACTGAAATATAGCAAATAGCGGTGAATACAAATACATTTGTGTGTGTATATATGAAAGTTTGTGTATATGTGTATGACTATGCAGCCGTTGGCGCACAATAAGCTTAATCAATTGGCACACCAAGTGAAATCAATTATGTAAATAAGTGCTTCATCAGCAGCAACAAAAAACAGAATAAAGTTAAAATAAATATATGAAAACGCATGCGCAGTAAACTAATCATTTTAAGTATCACAAGAATCGTTAACTAATTACTACTAACGATTTGTAAAGCATGTAATTAACTAGTAAACCGACACACATACATATATAATTAGACGCGCAGATGCATAGACAACGCAATACAAAAAAAAAAAAAAAATAATAATAATAATAATAATAAAAATTTAAAAAAA